GTGAGGCCGCAAAGTGATATGAGGTGTTACATGCTAGATCGATGTGGCATTGAGTCGGGGTCCTGACAACCCCTTTTCAGCGGAGCTTCCAGGCAAGCCCCCCCTTTGATCATCCCGATATCACCCATTCCATTCTCTCATGCTTGCATTAGATTTTGCTACTGTAATTGATTGCTCCTATTCTGATGCATAGCCTGCTTTTGTACCTGCTGTTGTACCTTACTTGCTTATCCTAAACTGCTTAGTATAGGTTGGTTAGTGATCCATCAGTGACCCCCACCTTGTCCTTGTTGCCCATGCTTCATCATCGACGAACAACGTGATCGACGAGCAGAGCCCGACACCTCACATCACATCACGCCCCTTTTTGTTGCTCGACTCTGTAGAGTTACCATCGAGTGCCGAGGGTGGTACCTCATACATCACTCCTGAAGAGATCTCTATAGTGTAGCTATTCGGTCGTAGTCATCGAAGGTGATTCCTCCTTAACCACTTCCTATACGACTTTGTCGTGCAACCCCTCAAGTGTGAACCTCGAGGGTGGTTCCTCTTATGTTCACCTTGATGATTACATCGAGTGGAATCCACCTAGGGTGATTCCTCGGGTTTTCCCCTTGATGTTTGGATACACGGTTACCTTGACTTTACTTGAGACCATTGATGAAGTCGGGTCAGCCCTGAGGGGTACCCGCGAGTTGATGTGAAAGTCGGGCGGGCCCGTAGAGCACCCGCGAGTTTTCCATGTGGCACGGCCGAGCAGTCTGGGCCCTTGCCATAAGTCCACGAGACGGGGCGACGGGGTCACATTATCGTTAGTCTTTGCTCGTTTCTGCGAGCCCCCAATGCACTAATGGTTTGGGTATTTATTCTGAGTTGGCCTTTTTCCTTTACGCACTAACCACCACGCGAGAATAGTTATGGGCCTCGGCGTCGCAGTATCAGCCGAAGCTTTGTCAGACATCCAGGTCAGCAGTGCGGCACGGCTGGGCCGGCACCATCCTGTAGTAGTGGAGCCTGGTCCGCCCTGCTCGCAATGACCCAGAGTGCAACGGGCGATGGGCCCAGACCCCGGAGTGCTTAGGAGGTAGACCGGTGGGGACCTCTCTGCTGAGCCTAGGTAGGCTGCGACGTGTTGATCTTCCGAGGCCGGGCAATGACCCCAGAAAGGTGTGTCCGGCCAGAATGATTGAGCGTGTTGGGTAACTTGGTGCACCCCTACAGGGAAGTTATATATTCAAATACCGTTTCCACGGTAATGGACGTTCAGACTTATATCCTGATCTTATATAACTAGAAATGGATACTTGAGTTATGTGATGGATATGTGGCTCCGAGATTGCTTTCTCGCAGGGAGTCGAGGAAGGATCTCTGGGCGTTGATGCTACAACATGCTTGTTAAATATTAAAATGATACTCACTACTCTTCTACATGCTGCAAGATGCTTGGAGATGCTTGAAGATGCTAGTCTTCGATAGGCTAGGCCTTCCCCCCCCCCCTCTATTCTGGCATTCTGTGGTTTAGTCCACAGATACAAACCTTCCATTTGATACCAATGCATACTTAGTATAGATCTGATGCTTGCGAGTAGTTTGGATGAGTACTCGCGGTTGCTTGGCCACCCCCTTTTTCCCCTTCTTTCTACTTTTCGGCTGTTGCAACCAGATGGTGGATCCTCGGAGTCAGATGCCACCGCCGAAGGATACTACTACGTGGAGACCGCTGAAGATCCCAGGCAGGAGGCCTTGCCTCTTCGATCGTGTTGCTTTTGTGTTAACCTTCTTAAGGCATCCTTGTTTAACTTATGTCTGTGCTCAGATATTGTTGCTTCCGCTCACTCTTGTGTATCGAGCTTGTATTCGAGCCCTCGAGGAACCTGGCTTGTAATATAAAGCTTGTATTATTTTATTTGTGTCTAGAGTTGTGTTTGTGATATCTTCCCGTGAGTCCCTGATCTTGATCATACACATTTGCGTGTATGATTAGTGTACGATTGTATCGGGGGTGCCACACACCAAGTACTACTTTTTGTTAGACAAGGACGCACATGCATCAGCCTCTTCTCTCTACCTTGTAAACGAATCCATAGACTTTATTTCATGTTAGCAAATTAAAAACATTCATATATTCGAAACCATAAGTTAGTATTTGAAATAATTTATATATTTGAACTCTTGATGCCAAGGCCTTTAAAACTAGACAGATCTTGGATACATTTCAAACATATTTAAATTTCAACATTTCACATTTCGTATGTGGAACTAACAAATTTCACTTGAAAAATGTGAAACAAGCAAATAACATATTTTAGAATTGTGAAATAAACAATAATAAAATTGAAAATGTAATATATGATTGTGAAACTAATTATTTGGAAACATGAATAGTGTATTTCAAAACTGTGAAAATGTGCCATTTCACAAACATACAGTTAAAATGATGCGATTTTTGTGAACCGAACCAACAACATATTTCTGAATTGTGAAATAATAACTACAGAAAGTCAAATTGTAATTATGATTGTCAAACTGATTATTTGAAAATGTGACGAAATTTGTTTCATATTTTCCAATAATCATTTCACCAATGATACATTATAATTTCACTTTCTCTTGTTGCTATTTCACAATTCAAAAATTACATTTCACTTTCCAACAGTTCGTCACAAAAATCACATACATTTCAGTTACACATTTTCAAAATAAAGTTGTTACACATTTCCAAATAATCAGTTTCACAAGACATTTCAGTTTCAATTTTTTCACATTCAAAGCCGATATTTCACTTCCATTGTCTTGTTTCACAAAGATCACATTTTTTAAGTGAAAATAAGTTTGTTTCACATACGAAATGTGAAACACTAAAATTTAAACGTGTTTGAAATATATCCAAAATTGATTTACTTCTAAAGGTCTTGGCACCAGGAGTTCAAATATTTACATAATTTCAAAGACAAACTTAGGTTTTAAAAGATACAAATGTTTTTAATTGTTGAAGATGAAAAGAAAGTCCATTGATTTGTTTGCAAGGGAGAGAGAGAAAACAAATGCATGCATCTGTGAGAGAAGAGAGAGATAGTTGTCACACCATGCTGGCATGTAAAGACAAATGATATGGGCCAACAGTTCTATTAGACCTAGTGTTCATTTTATATAGCAAAAGGGGACAAATAATTGTTTTTAGCAGACCGAATCTTAAAGTAGCTATTAAATGATGAAATTATTGCCGGTACACGCCGGAACCGCTCAAAATGACTTTCGCTTCTGCCCCCATCGAGCGGACGACGAGGCTCGCGCAGACTTCGGCCGATCGGCCCTCAGGAAACGTTTCCCTTTTTAGATTTGCTTAGAGCATGGTTAATAATACAACCAACGGTCAGCTATAAGAAGTTGCCATGCTATCTATAGTCAATCTCTTAGCCGGCATGTTACAATAGTAAGTTTTAAATATGTGCTAGTTTATTAATAGTTGGCCCACGTTACATCTTTACAAAGCGTTTTGGGTCTCGTGTTGCAGCTGACTACTAACCAAGAGTCGGCTTCTCTTCTCTCTCCTCTTTTCTCTCGTCCAACTAAGCAAATATAATTTGAGAAAAGTATACTTTTCGTCCCTCAATTCCTCGCGAAGTCTAGATTTAGTCTCTCAACTCCAAAACCGGACAACTTACACCCCAAACTCTTGAAACCGGACAAATTTAGTCCATTGTCTGCGCAAACCCAGCATCGCTGCTGACTTAGCATGGTTTTGATATGTCTTTGTCCATGTGGCAGTATTTCTCTCTCCTATCTTCTTCCTTCTCATATTGGCTTATTGAGGTATTTCATCCAACACCTTGCATGCACGGTGTCCCACGGCCAGGCCACGGAGGATGCAGGCAAGCCACTCACGCGGTGGCGCTACCTTGTGCTTGTCCTCGACTTCCTTATAACCTGCTTATGTCACCCTATTATACTTGCTCTTAATCCATGAATCCGGCCACAAAGAACATTCAAGCCAGCAAGTTTTTTTTGTTGTTGGCTGTACAAAAGTCAACTGATCCCCTTGTGATATAGGCAGTTGTTGGAGTTTTCTTTAAAAGAGTCCAACTTGTATTTCCATGCAATCGACTCACCATGTGCTGGAAGCATATATAGTCGATAAGCAAATCAATATTTTTTTCGAGAAAGAGCAAATCAATAATTTGATTGGAAGCCAAAAACCATATGCGCATGCATGAGGCAAAAGACAGCCCACTGCCATGCATGTTTACGAATGAACGTCGTGACCTGTCAGGCACACGGAACACGAACGAACATTCCCATCACAATTATCACGGAAGTTAAGCTCGTATTTAATCACAATTATAATGGTGCCAACAATATCAATGTACAATCATACACTCACACCTCGCTGGCCACAACATGCGTATACCTCATCAAGACATTTCAGTGAACGAACGAAGAGAACATCTACCACAATCAGACTCCGGCAGCCGCCATGTTCCATGCATACCAGCTAAATCACAACATGCCGGTCAATTATCGACCCAATGTCGTCGATTAATCATCTGATGAGACAAGCTATCCAATGTCCTCGATGCACGTATAAATAGCCCTACCTTACGAGCAACATCTCATCAGCTTCTCATCACCTTTCTCGATATCGATTAGTACATAAAAGGCTGATAAATTAGTTTCAGGAGCTTGAGGCAACAATGGCCGCCGCCTGGCTTAAGCTCTCTGTCGCGCTGACATGCGCATTGCTCTTATCGTCGTCGGCGTGCCATGGCCTGCAGGTGGGCTACTACAAGAAGACGTGCCCCCGCGTGGAGGCCATCGTGAGGGACGAGGTGAAGCGCTTCGTCTACAAGAACGCCGGCATCGGCGCCGGCCTCATCCGCATGTTCTTCCACGACTGCTTCGTCCAGGGGTGCGACGCCTCCGTCCTCCTCGACCCCACGCCGGCCAACCCGCAGCCGGAGAAGCTGAGCCCTCCCAACTTCCCCAGCCTCCGGGGCTTTGAGGTCATCGACGCCGCCAAGGACGCCGTCGAGAAGGTGTGCCCCGGCGTCGTCTCCTGCGCCGACATCGTCGCCTTCGCCGGCCGTGACGCCGCCTACTTCCTCAGCCGGATGACGATGAAGATCAACATGCCGGCCGGCCGCCTCGACGGCCGCGTCTCCAACTCCACGGAGGCCCTCGACAACCTGCCGCCTCCGGTCTTCAACCTGGACCAGCTCATCGCCAGCTTCGCCGCCAAGGGCCTCACCGCGGAGGACATGGTCGTCCTCTCTGGCGCCCACACCATCGGCGTGTCCCACTGCTCGTCCTTCGTCTCCGATCGCCTCGCCGTCCCCTCCGACATCAACACCGGCTTCGCCAACGTGCTGAGGAGGCAATGCCCCGCCAGCCCAAGCCCGGCCAACGACCCCACGGTGAACCAGGACGTGGTGACCCCCAACGCGCTCGACAACCAGTACTACAAGAACGTCCTGGCGCACAAGGTGCTCTTCACGTCGGATGCCGCCCTCCTTGCCACGCCGGCGACGACCCAGATGGTGCGCGACAGCGCCAACATTCCCGGTCAGTGGGAGGCCAAGTTTAACAAGGCCATGGTCAAGATGGGAGCCATCGAAGTGAAGACCGGTTACCAGGGAGAGATCAGGAGGAACTGCAGGGTCGTCAACCACTAAACCAACGAATCATCATGCGTCTCATTTTGTTTTGCGGTCCTTGGTTTTTGCACTGGCGGCGTCACCTACTTGTGATTGTGAGTGACCTCGGTCGAATTTCACGCATGTAATTCGTTTGTGAGGCTTCGTTTGTTGTTTCAACTCTTCACAATTCTTTGGCTGGTTTATTGGTGCTACAGTTGTTCTTTTTCTTTTTTTGGCAAATCAAACAGATGTATATAAATCAATCAGCGAGATTACAATCTTGCTGCAAGACACCATCAGCGAGATTACAATCTCAGCTATACAAAAAATGCCTGAATACGCACGAGTGCGTGTACCATATCTTATAGAAGAGGGGCGGGGGTATAGAACCCAAACCACCGTCGATGTTACAGAGTGTCAACCACCACAACATCGACAAGAATCCACACTCTACACTAAGTTTACAACGTGGATCATTCGCGCCTCGCACACATCGACAACATCTCAAACAACGCATCTAGATCTCCCTTGAACAAATGCGCCTGCCGCCACGCTCTACCCTCGACCACGGCCCTCGTGACAACTACCTCTAAAGACGGAGAAGCACCATCGAAGACTACTGCATTCTTATGCTTCCAAAGCTCCCAAATCACGAGAGTGAAGATTGCCTGTAGTTCCTTCGGCTTGTTCACCCCTGCCATTCTTGTCACGCACCATTCCTTTAGGGTATCTCGTGCCGTAGGCGTCCACACCTGCTTTCCCATGGCCGAACAAAGCGTTCTCCACACCATTCTTGCGAACACGCGTGTCAATAAAATACGATCGATGGTTTCTTCTTCTTGGTCACAGAAAGGGATAGACCGCGCCGAGCGAGACGGACAGACGTCCAACACCTGTTTCTCATTGCTAGCCAATTGAAGAAACGACATTGCAGTGGGGCTCTAGACTTCAGTGTGAAATCCGCTATTGGCACATGTTGGAAATATGCCCTAGAGGCAATAATAAAAGGATTATTATTATATTTCCTTGTTCATGATAATTGTCTTTTATTCATGCTACAATTGTATTATCCGGAAACCGTAATACACGTGTGAATACATAGACCACAATACGTTCCTACTAAGCCTCTAGTTGACTAGCTCGTTGGCCAACAGATAGTCATGGTTTCCTGATTATGGACATTAGATATCATTGACAACGGGATCACGTCATTAGGAGAATGACGTGATGGACAAGACTCAATCCTAAGCATAGCACAAGATCGTGTAGTTCGTTTTGCTAGAGCTTTTCCAATGTCAAGTATCTCTTCCTTAGATCATGAGATCGTGTAACTCCCGGATACCGTAGGAGTGCTTTGGGTGTACCAAACGTCACAACATAACTGGGTGACTATAAAGGTGCGCTACAGGTATCTCCGAAAGTGTCTGTTGGGTTGACATGGATCGAGACTAGGATTTGTCACTCCGTATGACGGAGAGGTATCTCTGGGCCCACTCGGTAATGCATCATCATAATGAGCTCAAAGTGACCAAGTGTCTGGTCACGGGACCATGCATTACGGTACGAGTAAAGTGACTTGCCGGTAACGAGACTGAACGAGGTATTGGGATACCGACGATCGAGTCTCGGGCAAGTAACATACCGTCTGACAGAGGGAATAGTATACGGGGTTGCATGAACCCTCGACATCGTGGTTCATCCGATGAGATCATCGAGGAGTATGTGGGAACCAACATGTGTATCCATATCCCACTATTGGTTATTGACGGTGAGCCGTCTCGGTCATGTCTGCATGTCTCCCGAACCCGTAGGGTCTACACACTTAAGGTTCGGTGACGCTAGGGTTGTATGAATATGAGTATGCAGCATACAGAATGTTGTTAGGAGTCCCGGATGAGATCCCGGACGTCACGAGGAGTTTCGGAATGGTCCGGAGGTAAAGAAAACTATATAGGAAGTGATGTTTCGGCCATCGGGAAAGTTTCGGGGTCACCCGGTATTGTACCGGGACCACCGGAAGGGTCCCGGGGGTCCACCGGGTGGGGCCACCCATCCCGGAGGGCCTCAAGGGCCGAAGTGGGGAGGGAACCAGCCCATAGTGGGCTGGTGCGCCCCCCTTGGCCCACCCCCTGCGCCTAGGGTTGAAACCCTAGGGTGGGGGGCGCCCCACTTGGCTTGGGGGGTACTCCACCCCCCTTGGCCGCCGCCCCCTTGGGAGATTGGATCTTCCAGGGCCGGCACCCCCCCTGGGGCCTATATAAAGGTAGGGGGAGGGGGCAGCCGCACCCTGAAGTTCTGGCGCCTCCCTCCCCCTGCTACACCTCTTCCTCCTCCGTCACGTGCTTGGCGAAGCCCTGCCGGAGTGCTGCTGTTCCACCATCACCACGCCGTTGTGCTGCTGCTGGAGCTTTCATCATCAACCTCTCCTTCCCCCTTGCTGGATCAAGACGGAGGAGACGTCACGCTGACCGTACGTGTGTTGAACGCGGAGGTGCCGTCCGTTCGGCACTAGGATCTTCGGTGATAGGATCACGACGAGAACGACTACTTCAACCCCGTTCTTTCTGAACGCTTCCGCGCGATCTACAAAGTGGTATGTAGATGCAATCTCTCTCCCATGACTCGTTGCTTAGATGAACTCATAGATGGATCTTGGTGAAATCGTAGGAAAAAAATTTAATTTTCTGCAACGTTCCCCAACAGTGGCATCATGAGCTAGGTCTATGTGTAGTTCTCTATTGCACGAGTAGAACACAATCTTGTTGTGGGCGTAGATCTTGTCAACTTGCTTGCCGCTACTAGTCTTATCTTGCTTCAGCGGTATTGTGGGATGAAGCGGCCCGGACCAACCTTACACGTACGCTTACGTGAGACCGGTTCCACCGACTGACATGCACTAGTTGCATAAGGTGGCTGGCGGGTGTCTGTCTCTCCCACTTTAGTTGGAGCGGATTCGACGAAAAGGGTCCTTATGAAGGGTAAATAGAAGTTGACAAGATCACGTTGTGGTTATTCGTAGGTAAGAAAACGTTCTTGCTAGAACCCAATTGCAGCCACGTAAAAGATGCAACAACAATTAGAGGACGTCTAACTTGTTTTTGCAGCAATTGTCATGTGATGTGATATGGCCAGAAGTTGTGATGAATGATGAATGACATATTGTAATGTATGAGATCATGTTCATGTAATAGGAATCACGACTTGCATGTCGATGAGTATGACAACCGGCAGGAGCCATAGGAGTTGTCTTTATTTTTGTATGACCTGCGTGTCATTGAAGAACGCCATGTAAATTACTTTACTTTATTGCTAAACGCGTTAGCCATAGAAGTAGAAGTAGTCGTTGGTGTGACAACTTCATGAAGACACAATGATGAAGATCATGATGATGGAGATCATGGTGTTATGCCGGTGACGAAGATGATCATGGAGCCCCGAAGATGGAGATCGAAGGAGCTATATGATATTGGCCATATCATGTCACTACTATATAATTGCATGTGATGTTTATTATGTTTTATGCATCTTGTTTACTTAGAACGACGGTAGTAAATAAGATGATCCCTTATAAAAATTTCAAGAAAGTGTTCCCCCTAACTGTGCACCGTTGCTAAAGTTCGTCGTTTCGAAGCACCACGTGATGATCGGGTGTGATAGATCCTTACGTTAACATACAACGGGTGTAAGACAGATTTACACACGCAGGAACACTTAGGGTTAACTTGACGAGCCTAGCATGTACAGACATGGCCTCGAAACACAAGAGACCGAAAGGTCGAACATGAGTCGTATAGAAGATACGATCAACATGGAGATGTTCACCGATGATGACTAGTCCGTCTCACGTGATGATCGGACACGGCCTAGTCGACTCGGATCGTGTAACACTTAGATGACTAGAGGGATGTCTAATCTGAGTGGGAGTTCATTAAATAATTTGATTAGATGAACTTAATTATCATGAACTTAGTTTAAAACTTTTGCAAAATATGTCTTGTAGATCAAATGGCCAACGCTCACGTCAACATGAACTTCAACGCGTTCCTAGAGAAAACCAAGCTGAAAGATGATGGCAGCAACTATTCGGACTGGGTCCGGAACCTGAGGATCATCCTCATAGCAGCCAAGAAAGATTGTGTCCTAGATGCACCGCTAGGTGAAGCACCCATCCCAGAGAACCAAGACGTTATGAACACTTGGCAATCACGTGCTGATGATTACTCCCTCGTTCAGTGCGGCATGCTTTACAGCTTAGAACCGGGGCTCCAAAAGCATTTTGAGAAGCGCGGAGCATATGAGATGTTCGAGGAGCTGAAAATGGTTTTCCAAGCTCATGCCCGGGTCGAGAGATATGAAGTCTCCGACAAGTTCTATAGTTGTAAGATGAAGGAAAACAGTTATGTCAGTGAGCACATACTCAAAATGTCTGGGTTGCACAACCGCCTGTCCCAGTTGGAGATCAACCTCCCGGACGAGGCGGTCATTGACAGAATCCTTCAGTCGCTCCCACCAAGCTACAAGAGCTTTGTGCTGAACTACAATATGCAGGGGATGGTGAAGACTATTCCTGAAGTATTCTCAATGTTGAAGTCAGCAAAGGTTGAAATCAAGAAAGAACATCAAGTGTTGATGGTCAATAAGACCACTAAGTTCAAGAAGGGCAAGGGTAAGAAGAACTTCAAGAAGGACGGCAAAGATGTTGCCGCGCCCGGTAAGCCAGCTGCCGGGAAGAAGTCAAAGAATGGACCCAAGCCTGAGACTGAGTGCTTTTATTGCAAGGGGAAGGGTCACTGGAAGCGGAACTGCCCCAAATACTTAGCGGACAAGAAGGTCGGCAACACTAAAGGTATATTTGATATACATGTAATTGATGTGTACCTTACCAGTACTCGTAGTAACTCCTGGGTATTTGATACCGGTGCCGTTTCTCACATTTGTAACTCACAGCAGGAGCTGCGGAATAAGCGGAGACTGGTAAAGGACGAGGTGACGATGCGCGTCGGGAATGGTTCCAAGGTCGATGTGATCGCCGTCGG